GGAAGGAAGGAAGGAAGGAAGGAAGGAAGGAGTGCAAGAAATGAAAAAGATAGAAGAAACAAAAATTTTAAAAAACCATATGAGTGACTTTGAACCTGCTTTTCAACCGATAATTACAGTACTATTGTCCCGAAAGTATTTGACTTTAAGGCTATGCCTGCTGGTCGGGGGACACATGGCCAGAAAGGGGGCCCTGTCCTCCTTTGGCCCAACGTCTGGTAGCCCTAAGCTGGCAGAGCCAACAGCTGGGAGGCCAGGTGTTGTGGGTCAGTGCTGTCTAGAGATCCTGCCCAGAGCAGGCAGCGGGGGATCGCAGGCTGGCCGGGCCGGCTTTGCTCCTTTCCGTCTCCTTTCAGGCGGTGCAAGAACGGCGCAGGCCTCTGGGACGTGCTGCGGCTGGAGGACCACTACAGCCTCGGCGAGCATCTCAGCGTTGCCAAGGTAACAGGCCTCGGGCTGCATCCTCCGTCACCCCCTTTGGCAAAGCCAGGCTCGATTCCCCTGGGAGGCTTCAGGAGGGTCCTCCGAGACAAGAGCGCCCGCCCAGACGCAGCCATCTTCGATCACAGTTGGCTTCCAGACGTTCTCAGAACCAAAACCCGAAGGAACCCACTGAATTACAGCATCCTATTCTCTTTTTTCTTAAAAAAAGGAATAAATTAAGTAGCGGCCAATGGGCAGGGCCGCTCCAGTAGCTTCAGCCTAAGACAGAGCCAGAGAACTTAGTCTGCAATATCGGCTGCGGTGGGGCTTGGATTAGGCAACGCTCCTCCCCGTTATGCTTAAATTTCCTCAGCGTGGGGGCAGGAAGGGCGCTGGCCTCAATACCCTTGATTTAAACTATAAAAGTGCACATCCTTACGGTATTTGTGGGGACTTTTGCATTCCTGTCTCTTAAAGAACACTGGTCACCTTTTCTTGGAGAATCGTGGATGATTATCTTGCTTTCACCACAAAAAAACAATTTTAGTATGATCTTTTCCTGTTCTCTGCACATGCTTTCAGGTTCAGTGAGGCTACTCCCCTGAACCTTAGCTACTAATTACAGGTTATGTGGAGGGCTATACAGTTTTCCTCCTTTATAAAATGTAAAATCTAAAGCTGCTGGTACATTTTACGTGGATGAAAGACTGGCTGGGAGATGCAGTTCTACCCTTTCAACGTTTTTTCATTGTTGAGGACAGAGTTCTCCACAGAA